CCTAATTTCAACATTGTATAATTACCTACGCAGTTAGTTCTACATCATGAGTGCTCTGACAAGTTCCCTACGCAGTAAAAGGTGAGTGAACAAGAGGGTAAGCTCGCCAAGAAAAGGGAGATTCTTCAGGTCGAGCTAGAGAAGGAGAAGGCCCTCGGGAAATTGACATTGGAGACAAAGGAGAAGACTAAAGAGAAGGTTGCCAAGGTTGTTGCTGCCGCTAAAGCGAAAGTTGCCCAGGTTGTTGTTGACACTAATAGGTTTTTATGCGAGGTCATCGTAGGTAGGCCACGTCTTATGCCAAACTTTTTAATCTTGTAGGAGTAACAACCTGAACTCGTCAGTTATAGAGGACTCGCGCGCTACTCATTATGGATCATATCACAAAAGGGGTTAGTAGGGTGGTCAGCCTATAGGGCTATTCACCAAGATACTCGCCAATGTCTTTAGTGAGTGGCCAATAAGACTTGCCATTTATACGGTACTCGTGCAATACTCATTGCAGATCTTATCACAACTAGGGGGAGGCATAGCTACTTTATACCTTCATCCAATTTATTTCCCTTATCTTTTTTTTACACTGAGCTCACTCGCAAAATAAATTATGGTAATTTAAACATGGTACATTATAGCTACTTAATAGGAATGGACCTTAACTAGGAAAAGTATTTTCTTCTCCTATGGGCTTTGGCTCGCCTACAGGCCTTTGTGCCTAGGGAAGTCAGCTCTTCTTCATAGAGTATTCTTACTCGCTTTTTAGCTTGAGCCTAGATGATAACTCAGATGGTTCCCATCTCAATCATTCACACTAGGTTATCACAAAATCGAACATCTAAGGCTGAGTAGTTTTCATTCTCACTCAAGGATCAAGGCAGTCACCCACGCAATTTGGGTCATTATCGATAGCTTCACTCGCTAGCATGAGTTCCTGAGCATTGGGCGACAATCCTGTATGGGCTAGTCCCTTCATTTTTGGGTCTCAAGGAAGTGCAAGTGATGTGGACATCAACAAGAGATTTCAGAATATTTATCGCCAGAAGCATCATAGATCGACAGCTACGATTAGGAGTCTTTATTTTGTATAAATGTTTTTATTAGTTATTTTATTTGAGTTTTGCCGTTTATACCCTTATCTATTATGTGTTGTGAGTTGTAGCCCTGAGGATATTCCTGTCTTTTTCTTTCTAGTTGTTTGTAGACCTATATATAAGGTCTTAGCCTATGTATGAGGATTATTGATGAATGAAACAAAATTTTCTGATTTTTCTCTTGAGCTTGTGAGTTCTGAGTGGGTAAGTCCCTAGGTGAAGGCAAAAGCAATACCCACATGTCGCTAGAAGTGTCCGGGACTCGTGGTCTGAATCATCTTCATTACCCCAAATCGCTGACTTCCTCCTCTTGCCCTAGCCGACGGCCTCCTCCCTCCTCCCCCACTTCCCACGCTGGCAAACCCAACCTCCCTACCCAATGGCTACCCAAAGCTCCCCCTCACCTCCTAGCCACCAAGCAATCCCTCCCCACCACCGGCCACGCCCACTTCCAAGCATGCCGCCGACCCAATCTAACCAATAGCCCCTCTTGATGATGATTTCCATTATCATAATAACCTCCTTGATTTAGCCGAGATAATTTGGAAGGAAGTTTTAAAATTTGAAATTCAAATTTTAAATTTCAAAAACTTTCATAAATTGTCAACTCTAAATTAGAAAAGTCCCTATATTTAATCCCGAATTAAATCTAATTTGATTTGGATTTCTTTAACTCCTTCCAAAAGTGGAGTAATGAATTCGAAGCTTTAAATTTTCCCTCCCAATTCCCCCTGTGGGCTCCGAAAATTCGGCCCCGGCCTCCGCTCGCTCTTCTTTTTATTCGGCGAGGGAGTTTTAACTAAATAAGTTCCGGGGTAAATTTTGGAAGGCAGATGGGTTTGTAGATAAGACACTACCCAGATATTTCGCCCTCATTTTGCGAGGACTTTATGATCTGAGTTCTGGTTTCCTATAGGCACAAGCCCCTATAGTTAATTACCCCTCCCGATCACGAGAGAGAACTTTCGATTAAGGCTAGTCGTCAATCAGATAAGTAGAGATACGTGTTATCTGGCATATAGTAGCAGCAATGGGTTTGAGATTGGAGAACTGGATTTGGATTTGGGAATTTGGAAAGGTTTGAAAAGTTTGATATTTAAAATAGAAATTGCACCATCTTGCACTTAAAGCGGATGGTGGGGGAATGGATGATAGACCCGAGCAAGATCCAATGATTCCATCGTCCCGGGCCATCGTGGTCCCTGGTCTACTTAGTCAGAGGAGGTAGTCGACCCAACCTGACAGAAGGATCTTTGTCGGCAGCCATGGGTTGCTTCGTCCAAGGGAACCTTGTAGACCGGGGTTGATGTTTGTCTAAGGGGACAAATTTAAATCCACCTTAGCTGACAGAGGGCTTCGTGCCCTATCGATCATATCCTATTGATTCATATCTCAAGGATTTAACGCCATTAAAGAGCGTATTGGCTCTGGCCATATCTATAATTAATTATTTTTAATTTAAAATTAATCATAACTTAATTTGATTTAATTTATGATTAATCAAAAACTAATTATAATTAATTATATTTTAATATACAATTAATTATATTAATTTAAATTAATTATAAATAAATTATTTTAATTTATAATTTCTGATAAACTAATTATAATTAATTTATCTTAATTATAAATCAAAATAAGATTAAGCCTAATCTTATTTAAACAAAGAGTTTAACTCTCTTAAACTCTCTGTTTAAGAGATTTGGTCGAAGAAGCGCGCGTGAGGGGAGAAGCCAACTACACAGCCAGCGAACTCACGTTATTGCTTCCGATCCAAATGTTGGAACTTCCGATTTCAATCGTAAAGAGAAGTTGTCGTTGGAAGAGGCGGCTACGGGAAGGAAACTCACGGCTAAGGGAGAGAGGAGGTTCGGCTAGGGCTTGAGGAGTTTGGTGACTTGGAGATCGGGAGAGAGCAGAGGCGACGGGATGGAGGCGTCGACGGGATCTGGCTGAGGTAAGGTCGGAAGCTTCCTCTCTCTCTCTCTCTCTCTCTCTCTCTCTCTCTCTCTCTCTCTCTACCGACGGGAGGTCGGCACAGGCAGAGGTGGTCGGGATTTGGCTTTGGGCGGTAGCGACGGGAAGATGTCGGGTTGACCAGGATCGGCGTCGCAGGGGGTTTGGCAGGCTTGGTTGGAGCTGGAGGCTTGTGGAAATCGGGAGCAGCGAGCGGAAGAAGGTCGTGGGAGAGAGCTACAGGCTATGAAGGATTTGCGAACGGGAGGAAGAAGCAGTGGAGGTTCGGTATTTAACGACGCGTTTGGGCTCTCGATCGAGGCAACGTCGTAGGATTTGCGGAGAATCGACTGGAGCAGCACCGTTTGCAGCGGGATTTCGGCAAGGTATCGCGGCTGGATTCGAGGACCCGACAGGTATGAGGTTTGTATGTGGGATTTTCGTTTTGTTTTCTCCTCTTTTGTTCCTTTGGGTATTATATGAAGGTCAACACCCCCACACCCTATGCATGCCGCCAACACCCCTTATGCAATTCCCCCTTCTCTCTCCACTTTAACCCCACCCAAGCTTTGGATTTGAAATTCAAATTCAAATTCATATTTCCCTCCCATCAATTAATTTCAAATTTATTCTCCTTTTCCTCCTACCTAAACCCTAACTTGGCCAAAAAGTTCCTTCTTCCTCTTTGGCCGACCCCTCCTTCCTCTATCAACTCTTGGATTTGCTCTTCTCCCATGATTGGCATCTCTAAAAGGAAAAGAGCATACAACCTTCCAACCGGGCAATGGAGAATCACCGGTCGTCCTCACACAACTCCTCCGGTGAACTTTCGTTGAATTGTAACCATAGGTGTCTTCACAACTTCGGTGGCATCGTTCAGTTTGTTGAGATTCTCTTTCCACCAGCCCCTACTAAAGACCGTGAGTGAGGGAAACTCAAAGGTAACTTTTCTAATTATTAATTGTGGGATTTCTTGTTTACAACATTTAAGCTTATCTTTATGAATGAAATTGTTTTTCAAGTGAATGCTACTCTACCTTGTAACTAATTGCCCTTACATTATTGATATCCTTAAGTTTTAAGCGTCCAATCTTGTGAAACATTAGTTTATATTACAACGTTTAATCAATTTTCTTTATAATCTCTAATGCAATTCCAAGTGGTTTCACATCAGCAAGTTTCCCTAACCCTTTTGTGAAAACCTTCTAAGTTAATATATGTGAACTATGTATTAGACCGTTTATCGTGTTGAGCTTTTTAAACTTACCAAATATTACTCTAATAATTATTTCAGGTAAAGAGAAAAACAAGATTGATCATGAGTTAGGATCAATTTTTGAAGCTATAATTAATTCTTTTTCTGATATATGATATTACAAAGGATGTAATAAAAGTTTAATGTTATGCAAATAAGCTTTGATATTTATTAGAAGCTCTGTTATAATTAATGAAAAATTTTTGAATACTTAGACACAATTTATGTGTTAATCATTAAAGTCACTGTGAATTAGAAATTATGTTGAATGATATATTTGGGTCAATCAGATGATTTGGTTTATCACTCTCTAATCTAGTAGGTAGAATTCCAAAATAATTGTTGATGGTAGATTCAACAAACTAAGTCATACTTAACTTGTTACATTTTACCTTTGACCAAAAGTGACCATTGTTGGATGTGACATATACAATAAACTATTCATTGACTAAACTAAAGTATGATGGGACGTAGCCTATTGCAGCATCAACTACGTTAAAGGAAAGAAGCCAGCCAGAAGTTTGAAATAAAGTAATATTTCATATCAACGAATAGCAACCATCTCATTAAAAGATGGCAGAAAAATGTCAAGGGATTACTCAGACAACAAAAGGACTTAAACAAAAACTTTAAGATAATATGAACAAACAGATATCTCAAATATGGCTATCATTGAGATAACATTCTCACATATCTCATACCTCAAAGAAAACGAGGCCTGGTTCCATGCTCATTGAATCTTCTTCTGATATTTCGCTATAACTAAGGTCAAATGACTCATAACTAGGCAAATCAACTTTCATATCACCTGCATCCAAAATTAGTTTACCAGGAGTGGAGGATTTAACACTTCCAGCTGCTCGAGGAGATGCATGAGCATGCTTCCTTGCTTCCCCAAATGGGTTCAAAGCCTCCCAATTCGTCCTCCGATGAATTTGAGAGACAGAGCCTTGGGATGGTATCTTTTCAATGCATGAAAGACTGTAGCAATCAAAAAGATTTTCATTTTGATTGCCAACATCAATTGGTTCCAGCTCAGCAGTAAAAGGAGAAAAAACCGCTCCAACACCTCTCCAAATCCCGGTAAGACTGCTTGCAAAGATATCCCAAGACGGTTTGATAACTGGTTCCTGTCAAATAAGTTTGAATCATATAGAAAGATGGAAACATAATCTAAATGAGAATTAAATCTTTAAAACTTAAGCATCCATGTACGATTTAAATTTGAGTTCAAGAATACCACTGCAACGTGAAATAATAATCAGAATGCACACACCATGACAAAAAACAACAGAGTAAATCATTGGACAGCAGTATAGTCAAGCTAACTATCATGTTATCAATCCCTATGAGGCAACGAACACAAACTAGTAGCAATTTGGTTCCTTTAAGTTGTCCAGTTAATAAGGATAGGGAGCAGAAATATGTTGGTTGATGTAAGATCAAGGGTTTGCCAATGACACCTATGACAAAATGCACAATCAAAAACAAACTAAGAGCCACAATCCACCAACTGTCAACTTTATTGAAAATTAATGATCTTGAATGTAAAGTAACAGTCAATAGATGTCTGTCCGGGTTCTTCAATCAGTTTCCAGATTGGATGTATCCCATCCCTTGCTGTTTCAAACCAGGCTTCAGGCTCGTCCCATGCTCCGAGCGCAGCTTCCATGGGTGATATCGAGTGTGAATTGCAGCAGAAAACAGATGTGATCCAACAGGCTATTGATTCGCACGATTGCGACCAGCAGGCTATGGATTTGGTTTATATTAAGGATTGCGACCTGTAGGCGGATCGCAAACTTGCAAATGACGAAGCAGCTGCCGCTGTTCATGTCTTCCACGATTCAGACGGGATATAACTCCAGCCCACAAGCAACACTTTGCAATGCAAGTCCAAACCTGAGACTGATGTTCAGATCGTGACCAGCAGCATCTTCACAAGCAGGAGGCTGCCGAACCAGCAGAGCTCGTTCCTCAAGTGCCACACCGGTTTACCTAGGCTGAGCAGATGGAAGTCTCGACTACTTCACACAACAGTAGGGAACCAATTGACAAGCAAGTGGTGGATCAAAAGCAGCCCTCCCACTTCGAACAGGTTCTTGCAATGCATGGAAATGTCTCATGTGTAGACAATCGTCCAGATTTCACTTGCGTTGATTCCAATGAAATGGAGGTCACAATGGTTGTGAATGAGCTCTATGTAGCTCCAAACAGGTGTGGAACTCCCATTGAAACAGCCCTCAATGACACCATTCAACCAGGACAGTGCACACAAGGTGTTTGTACAAATACTCCAATGGCTACAGATTCTTAGACTTTTTGATCCAATAAACAATTTTGTTGAGTGATATGAAATGAATAACTACTAGAGAGTGACTTTTGTTATGATTAAATTGATTGGGCATGCAAAGATCTATTAGAATAATGCATTAGCAAAAAAATAGAAGATTTGTTAGACTAGCCTTACTTGGATAAAGATGGAGGTGTTTAGATCAAAGTACTATCCTAAACATCATGACAATTAATTAGATGGCCAATTACTAACGTTGAGGTAAGGGAAATATGCAAGTTATTGAGTATCTAAACACTTAAAAGGATTTAGATGCTAAGGTTAATTGTGTTGATAATGAGTGGCGAGTTGCAAAAAAAAGTAGAAATCAGAAATGAAATAAAATTATTTTATCCATAGACGCTAGACAATATCTTTTACTATGCACTGCTAATAGAAAAGCAAAAGAGAGTAGTGCACTCTTCTAGACCTGAAGGATAGATCACTTATTTCCCCACCAAGAGACCTATTGCTAGACCTAACTCTCCCCTATCAATTTCTAGAACAATAGGAACCATACTAAAGGTAGTACCAAAAACCCTAGGGAGAAAATTTGTTTCAAGTGCCATAAGAAAAGATATATAAAATCCAATACATATTTTATTTTTGGACGAGGAGATGTTAATTAATAGTTGATAGTAGGATGCCATAAATGTTATCTCCATCCAAACACTTATAAGGGTAAACTTAAAAAGATGAGAGTTTTTTTTTTTTGGAAAAATTAGGGGAAAAAGACCATTTCATTAACTAAAAAAAAGATTATGTCCAGATTGTAAGAAGATTACAAGTGAGGTATACCATTGGCAAAAGAAAAAAAAATAGCAGTAAAAGAAAAGCTATTGCTCCGAACAAAGCGAGCAACAAAACAAAACTAGCATGGAATAAGAGTGAAGAACCAAGCAAAGAAGTGTTGTAAACCACAAAGACTCGTAATGCAATACAAAATGAGATCATCAACCAACATCAAAACAATTCATGTAATAAAAGTAACCCCTGGTTTCCACTAGGACCATCCAAGGTGGACCCGGTGGACCACCAGCTTTCAACATCATCCTTCAAAAGATCCCACCTAGAGAAAGGCCACAGTGAAATATCACTAGTCCACAAAATAGCAGCAAATAGTCATAAGAATTGCAGAAAAAGGCTCAACAGAAAAGAGTTTCCAACAGACATTAGGTAGGTAGAAAATCCTACCAGAAAAATGAGATTAAGAAAGGTAGTGCTTGACTTCATTATACTTCTTCCACAAAGAGATCATAAGAAGAATATCTCTTAATTTTTTATGTGCTAGTGGGAGTGGCATTTAATCTTGTTCCCTAATTTTTATCATTTCTATCCCTCTAAGTATAATAAATAACACAGTAGACAATAAAGTAGTACAAATTTTTAATAGGGCTGTTGACCTGTAGCATTTCCAAAATATAATCCAACGGTTGATTAATCCTAGGCCTAAGTAAAAATCCATCAGATCATGGCAGTAAAGAATAGATATGCTAAATGAAAAATCACATTCAAAAAAAGAGATGAGCAAGAGTTTCAGAAGAATGATTGCAGAGAATGCAAGTGTTGGGGGTAATAATGCCATGATGGTTAAAAAGGTCAGAGGTTTTTAGCCCATCCATAACAGCCAACCAAGCGAAGGAGTATCTGATTGCAAAATTCTTGTGCCATATCATTTTATGCCAGGAGACCAAAGGTACATCAAAAAAAGAAGCTGCAGTGAAGAACATAAATGTAGGGTTCTTGGTTTCAATCCCTTTTTAACAGGGAGCGTCATTTGTTATTGCCACAGTAATGATGTGAGCATGGAGGTGTTGGGTGATGTTCTATGTGTTACAATAGATGAAGCTACAGACATGGATGGTGAGAAGATCCCTCGAATCAAAATCCAATGTGCAATTGTCCATAAGCTCATATAATGATTATCATTGCATCAAGAATCCCAAAAAAGAGATAAGTTCCTAGTAATAGTCACCATTAAGGAAAAGGAATTTTTTATGTTGCAAGCGAATACACAATAAGGTTGTAAACAACTCGAAAATGAAAAGTATTTTAAAATATGAATTTTTGAATTTCTATTTGAACTGGAGCACTTTGACATTGTACTTGTGAGCGCTGCGGCGCTAGGTTTGAGAGCACAATAGTTCCAGAAAATGCCATTATGGCATTTGAGTCTCTGTTCTCCAGTAATTCTGGATTCAACATGTGACGCTAGATTTGAGCGCTGTGGGGCTAGGCCAATAATATTTTTTTATGCATATTTTATTCAAAACCTAAGCATTAAAATAATACAACACCGCAACCTCTCCCATTTCGGCCATGACTTGCTCGGGAAGGAAAAGGAGAAGGGAGAGGAAGAGGAGAGAGAAAGGAGATAGAAAGAAAGTTTTTGGTCAATTTTTGTCCATCGCTTCTATTGTAATAAACGTTCTATCTTCTTACTTATGTTTTTGATGATTTTTTATTTCTACGGATTCATTTCTCCTAAATCTGTCAAAAATGCAATATCTCCTGATTTTGTAAGGTTTCATCAAGTTACTTTTAATATATTATAGATTTAATCATGCAATTCAAAATGATTTGATATGATATTTATTGCATTTTCACTAGTTAAATATGTGTTAATAAATTTTTGGATAAAATGAGTAGGAAAAAAGATAGACGGGAAATGAGTTGAAAAATATTATACTATTATTTGACATGATAAGGCTGCAAGGTAATATATATTGAAATGATTGATATGATTAAGTGATACAAGAATGTAATATTACTAATCTAAATATGATATGATGTACGGATATGATATATTGATATATGATATGATAACCTCATGTGATATCCTTAAAATCCACGAGGTCCACTAACGGGAGTTAGTAGAAGGGATTCATAAAGAGCTAATGATTGATTGGGAGTTATAAGGAGTCGGGGCAACTGTCACGTGTTTCAAGGGGAATTATAATGAGTTTATTGATTGGGAGTTATAAGGGGCGACTAACTGGTAGTCATAAGAGCAAGAACAAGAACAAAATTTCCTCTTTTGGATATTATTACTAATTAGAGATTATTGTTACTGTTATTGTCCTGCAGCTATAATGAGAAAGTTTTACTAGCCACTTAGATTTTAATTTCATCCGGGGCGAAATTTGTACAAGAACTAAAACTCTATGAACGTAAGGCAGCTTTTTTTAGACATTAAGGAGTCGACTGCCATGGGACTCTGAAGTAATTGGCTATCTTTGAAATTCCATCGGGGTTCTAACAAGACAAGGGAAGATTGTGAATTTTAACCGACAAAGGAATCAAAGAAACTCTTCTCTATTTGGGACAAAAGACGGTGACCACTTTTGGAGTATGAATGGCTTTCCGAGAAAGAACCAGGGGCCTCTTGACCAAGCCATATCAAAATCTTCTGGGACTATGAACTTAAGAAGGAAGAACCCTTCATTGAGGGAGAGAAGGTTGAGAGAGCCTTTAAGGGAACCAGGTTTTGTGGATGGCAGAGAGGAGGCCTTATAATAGGATCATCTACCAATAGCATAGCTGACTAAGGAAAGGTTCCATTCTTTGAAGCCTTGAGCAACTTCATCCTCAGAGAAGTGATGGTTTTGTCCTCAAGGGTAATAAAAGATAGCGTAAAGTCCTTTGAGGTAGGGGAGGGGGAGGCGGGCTTTGTACTAGAACAGAAACTCTCGTGGAAGGCGGTTTTTTTAGACAATAAGGTGTCAAAAGCCATGGGGCTCCGATGTAATTGGCCATCTTTAAAATTCCGTCGAGGTTCCAGCAAAATAAGGGAAGATT